GAACCAGGAGATCGAGTAGGTTGTAGACCAGGAGGTGGACTAGGGGGTGGACCAGGAGGTGGACCAGGAGGTGGACTAGGGGGTGGACCAGGAGGTGGACCAGGAGGTGGACTAGGGGGTAGACCAGGAGGTGGACCATGGGGTGGACTAAGAGGTAGACCAGGAGCTGCACCAGGAGGTGGACTAGGAGGTAGACCAGGAGGTGGCCCAGGAAGTGGACTAGGAGGTGGACCAGGATGTGGCCAAGGAGGTGGACTAGGGGGTGGACCAGGAGGTGGGCTAGAAGGTAGACCAGGAGGTGGACCAAGAAGTGGACTAGGAGGTGGACCAGGAGGTGGACCAGGATGTGGCCAAGGAGGTGGACTAAGGGGTGGACCAGGAGGTGGGCTAGAAGGTAGACCAGGAGGTGGACCAAGAAGTGGACTAGGAGGTGGACCAGGAGGTGGCACAGGAAGTGGACTAGGAGGTGGACCAGGGGTGGACTAGGGGGTGGACCAGGAGGTGGACCAGGATGTGGCCAAGGAGGTGGACTAGGGGGTGGACCAGGAGGTGGGCTAGAAGGTAGACTAGGATGTGGACCAGGGGATGGACTAGGGGGTGGAAATGGTGGGTGGAACAGGAGTTGGACCAGGAGGTGGACCAAGGGGTGGACTAGGGGGTGGACCAGGAGTTAGACCAGGGGGTGGACCAGGATTTGGACCAGGAGGTGGACTAGGAGGTAGACCAGGGGTTGGACCAGGGGATGGACTAGGGGGTGGAACAGGAGTTGGACCAGGAGGTGGACCCGGGGGTGGACCAAGGGTTGGACTAGGGGGTGGACCAGGAGGTGGTCCAGGGGGTGGACCAGGAGGTGGACCAGGATGTGGACTAGGAGGTAGACCAGGGGGTGGACCAAGGGGTGGACTAGGGGGTGGACCAGGATTTGGACCAGGAGGTGGACTAGAAGGTAGACCAGGTGGTGGACCGGGAGGTGGACCAGGGGGTGGACCAGGAGGTGGTCCAGGGGGTGGACCAGGAGGTGGACCAGGAGGTGGACCATGGGGTGGACTAAGAGGTAGACCAGGAGCTGCACCAGGAGGTGGACTAGGAGGTAGACCAGGGGGTGGAGCAGGAGGTGGACTAGGAGGTAGACCAGGGGGTGGACCAGGAGGTGGACCAGGGGGTGGACCAGGAAGTGGTCCAGGATGTGGAGTAGGAGGTGGACCAGGGGGTGGACCAGGAAGTGGTCCAGGATGTGGACTAGGAGGTAGACCAGGGGGTGGACCAGGAGGTGGACCAGGGGGTGGACCAGGAGGTGGTCCAGGGGGTGGACCAGGATGTGGACTAGGAGGTAGACCAGGGGGTGGACCAGGAGGTGGACCAGGGGGTGGACCAGGAGGTGGTCCAGGGGGTGGACCAGG